AATAGTTCATTGTACTCAAACACAGTCCAATTAAAAAATGCCTTAACACACGAAATAATTACGCCTGCAAATTGCAATTAGTAAACAAACTAAAGTAACAGATTTTTTTCAGAAATGTTAGGTAGTTTTTATTTTTATCGTGTATTTAATTAATGTATAAATAATATAAAATAAAATTATTGAATTTATTTATTTATTGAAAAAAATGTTTTCCTCTAAATAGCGGACAAAATTTCAGTGACCGAGAGTGTCCGCTATTCAGACGTTTCACTGTAATAGTAATATGAAGAGAGCCTTAAATAAGGTTAAGTAACCTTATTAAGGCTCTCTAGTAATATGTATCTCATGTATTTCATAAATATTAATACTATCATACAATGCTGCAATGGTAATTATAGTAAATATTTAGCCCAACAATGATGCGAATGCCAGTGAACTACCTATTTGTTTTCTCTCTCTATAGCCCACGCACAACATATAGGTATTAGGTACCAAATATTTTACGATTAGCAGAACCAACCCTATGTTGTATGTTAATTTTAATACTAGAGTCTAGAGTGAATTCACCTATCATCAAACTTTAAGTTAAGAGTTTAAGACTTAAGAACTTTACATGTGTCACTACGTTGGTCGTTGGCTATTATATGATATTTTAATTGTTGTGTAAGCTTTGAGCGTGTAAATTATTACAATATACTGACAACAAAATAAATGAGACCCAAATGTCAAATATCGTCATATGTACCGACAATTATGAGGTATTTTTATTGATTTTAATGTACCTATATGGGCTGTAAGCCTGTAAGCCATACAGACAACAGTTCACATATTATATAGGTGCATTTAATGTTTAAAACTTTAAATAGGTAAACGCATGTGGTACGTATAAAAAGGTACTTAAATAAAAATAAAAATTATTAACATTAATATAATAAATTAAAGTATTTATTTTCCATGTAGGCATATTTATTCATTTTTTGGACATATCTATATTATTGTCAATATTGATATAATGATATCCATATCTCTTTTATATATTTTTGTTGATACAATATAACAATGGCCCACTAAACAACAATTGTTTGCATATTATTATTGACTATTGTGCTATAGTGCTATACGCCTATACAATATAACTTGCAAGTATTCTAAAATTAATTTTTTTTAATGTAATAGGTACCATAGGTACTATACCACAAAGGTATGTGCTATTACATAACCAAAACTATTGTTTACTCGATTATGTTCCACAAAACTGCAGTTGACCTTCCTCAGCAACCGCCAATATTATATTTGAAACACATTTTATATTGCAAAAGGAAAATATTTGAGAAAAGTGGGAGTGAAATATATTTTAGAACGCCAAATTCGAAGGTCTCTAATTATTCATAATAATACAAGTCAGTAGCATTGTCAGTAAGTAGTTAAATAGGCATAGAGCCATATAGATAGGTACAAGGTACCTAATTAGATACCCTTTAAGTTTTATGTTAGGTACCTAATACCTATACTTTTAAAATAGTCCCAATTTATCTGCTGAAATAACGCAAAACTATGAATATAGTTAAATTTAAATAATATTTTTATATTAATATATAGTTGCATTAAATAAAGAAGTAGTATGCTATCAATTAATAATATTAGGAAGGAGTCTAAAGGTTTTATTCATCGCTCGACAAATATGTAAAGTACCATTTACGCCCTACCGTGGACGATCTCATGGTTCTTCATCTTGTATTAGAATAAGTATGGGCTGAGCTATATCTTAAGCATACCTCAGTCTGTGAGAATGAGTAAACTATCAATTTTACAATTTTTATTCAGAAGACATAAAAATAACTTAAATATCACCGGTATCCGTTTTTTATAGAGCATTTTGCATTTTTTGCTTTTACCAGTTATAAATATAAAATAAAAATGACAGTTGATAAAAGTAAGTATACTTCTTTTTACCGCATTAAACCTTTCTCCTGTCACACCCACACACCGATTGTTATTGAGTAGTATATAATAGATATTATTTTTAGATTCTCATAAAAGCGATAAATGTATTCGTTTAAAATAATGTTTTTTATTTCTACCACCTCCTTTTGAAGTAGGTAGTAAAAATTAATTTAATTAAGTTGAAAATTAATATCATTATTTAAAATTTTAATAGCTACAGCTAGAAAAATATCTATTAATTTCAAAAAAAAACTTGTAAAATATAAAAATCCCCATCTTTATTACACAACCATGTATCCCGTAAATAAATAGCAAATACTCTCTGTCCAAGCACAATAACGGTGAAAGACATAAGCGCCAAAATGTGATAAGAAAAAAAAAATCGTACCTTACAAAAGCGCCAAAATCGTATCGTACATAAGCGCCAAAATGAGATGAGAAAAAAAATCGTATTTTACAAAA